TTCATGCCCTTTTCTAATAGATTCTAAATGATCCCCAACATTGTCCTTTTCAATGGGGGTGCTCAAAATTTGCGGAAAGGAATATATCATCCATATATCAATATGATCTTCATTCCATGTAAGGGGCAAGTACATGTGTAGCAATAGAAAGATTAAGTTACTGCAAAGATTATATCTAAAACCACAGACACTATAGAAACTTCCTGTTAGATCCTAATGAACAATAAGATTACTTTCAAAGTTATATTCGCATTTGTGGAAGATAACACTACCATATTTTTATTAAGTGACACTTCATATGCCAGTACCAAATCAGGAAACTACAAAAGGTGCAAAACTTATACTTCAAGTGAAATCCAGTATGCCATGGAAGGATTGAATGCACTTTTCTTTAGCAGCCAATGCATGATAGATTGATAGCACTTGGCAGAAATGATAAATTAACATGGATTATAACTTCTGCTTTTAGGTTGGGACTATATTGTTTAATAATTATTTTTCTCCCTGTAGATCACTACATCCCTTGTTATTTTTTTACTATAACTATTGAGTTGGTTTGTTCCCCAGTGTGCTGGTTCTCATCAGCGCAAAAAAAAAAAAAAAGTTCAAGAAAGGGGGACAGGAAAAAAAGAGAGAAAGAGGCACATGTAGATTCCTACAGCTAATCAATTCTCTGACCAAACTTGGAATAATTAAACCACAAAATATGGTATACAAGTGCAAATATTACGTAGTACCTCCCCATGATTTCGGGGTAACATGGTAGCCCTTGCAATCTTCTTCTCGATTTCTGCAAGGGTTCTAGTTGGGTCTTCATTAGCACTGAGGAATGTTCCCGAACTGTTTGGCATAAGGATCCATCAGTTCAATGAGGCCCAGAAAATGCCACAAGCTAGTTATTTCATGATTGTGTGCGGAAGACAAATTGGGTATAAAAATGTCTGAAAATATAGTTCATGAAAACTCTAAAGATCAAGAATACTAATAATCCAACACATGCTCCTAAAAATAGGCAGTTCTGAGATGGCATTGCTCATTGCAGCATAAGTACAATCCACAGAAAAAGCTACTGCAAAATCTCTCTGCAGTAATAAATGTGGACTGATTTGTCAGCCTATTTGGTTATTCCTTTACTGCACTTACTCTTGGACTTTAAGGTTACCTTGTCCTGATTCCTTTTGTACTCTCCGCGGTTTCTCCTTTCCTCAGGGCTAATGTTGATGGCTTCAGTCGCTCCTTTGCAGTTTTTACTATATTTTCACACTGTTCTGATGTCGCAAATTGTGGAAAGTACAAAGCACGAGGCTGCCAGCTCAAAATCTGCTCAAGAGTTCAGAATACATTATTAAAACAGCACAGGTAGATTTCAGGAACATAATGACAAATGGAAAAAACCCCAGCAATTTCTAGTGAAGCTGAGGTCATGGTGTATTATGTAGCAGAAGAAATACAATTAAAGATATTACTGAATTCTTACCCTGCAAACAAGTACTGTTAGCCTGCCAGGATATAGGATGCACAGCCATAAGCTAAATGTCAGAAGTCAGATGCGTATCTCGTGTCACGGTGAGAAATCTAGGGTGTATAAATTGTTCGCACGATATCAAATCAACCCATTCTATACCTAAAAAAATATGCTCAATGTAGCCGATACTCTGCAGAATTGTTCGATGCATAAACACAATAAAATCTAAATGTGCTGCATCCATTCATTGCAACAACTGTTCTTGAGTAATAGGGACCTACATTAGCCGCACGATGGCAGAAACAGGGATACAACTGTGATTGGTGAGGGTGCCACGAAAGTCCCACAACACCCACACCTCCTGCATTTTCCTCTTATGTCAGGAAGCCTGCTAAATTTGAAATGCTAATCAATCTTCCCAACACGCAAGACCACGAGGCCACGAAAATTGCATGCACGCAACTGACCCCCAAACTCCACGAGGCACCCCAAATGGATCGCTGCACGATACCATTCACAACAAATACCCAAAAGATGAATTCTACCAACCGAGGAATGTCGCCACCAAAGGCAGTTCATCATGAGCTAGCTTAGAATTCACGAACACACGTGCCCGCACCAATGCTCATCACGCCGAATGTTTGACAAAACAATTGGCAAGCGAAGACGGGGCAACCGCCCCTCGCGGAGATGGAACCGGAACGAGACGTCACCTGGTATGGGATTAACGACGGCGCAGCCTCGCCGGACTCGCCGTATGCCATCTCAGGCCACGCCGTCTCCAGCAGCCGCTCCCTCGGCACCGGCATGTCCGCCTCCTCCGGATCCTGCACCGCGCCACCCGCCGCACCGCAGCCAGCCCACCCAGATCAGGAGCGGCGCTACAAGGCAGCTACGAATCGGAGCGTGGCACGGGGCTCGCCGTCGCGTACCTGGGTGAAGAGCAGCGAGCCGAAGAAGCCGGCGAGGAAGAAGAGGGAGCAGGAGAGGAGCACCACGGGAAGCCGCAGTCGCGTTCGCATCAGACCCGCGCCGCCGGCACCTCCGCCGGCGGCCCTGATGGCGCCACCTCCCTTCATTCCGCGCGCTGACGGAGACGAGGACGATCCGGCGATGAGAGGAGAGGTTGCTCGCGTCGCGTCACGGGAGGAGGCGGGTCTTCTCTGAATCTCTGAATGGAGCGAGTTTATTTGTTCGTCAGGTGTCCGAGCACTGACGGGTGGGACCGAATACTCGATAGACGGGACCGGTGCGCGACGTCACGTGCCGGTAAAGAACACGCAGTCAGTTATGGTGGGCCCAGGCACAATCGTCGACGGGAGGGGCACACAAGTCTACAACTGCTGCTGGGTCTCGTACTTGCTTCACAGTTGAGGCTTGTTTAGATTGAAAAAATTTTCAATCCGATGAATAGTAGCACTTTCGTCTTATTTGGTAAATATTGTCTAATCGTGGATCAACTAAGCTCAAAAGATTCATCTCGTGATTTATAACTAAACTGTGCAATTAGTTTTTTTTTACCTACATTTAATGCTCCATGCAAATGGCTAAAAATTGATGTGATGAAGAGAGAGTGAAAAAACTTGGAATTTTGAGGGTATCTAAACAAGGCCTGAGAGTGGAATAAGTTCTCCTCTTTTTGCTCGAAATGGAATAGGAGGAAAAGTTAAAGTGTGAAAAAAATATATAAGAGCTAAATCCTTGGAGCCGTTGGTCTAAGAAATATGGCCCATCACCTTCCTAACCTTCACTTATTTTTATTTGTGATGAAATGGAATAGATTAATCTACCACCATCTCAGCCCTTATAAGTAATAATCAGCGTGCAGTATAGAATCATTTCATCAAAATTAATAAAGTAGGATGAACTCAAGACGAACCAGCTCGTTTATTACTTGGTGGTAAATTCAACATCAATGAGAACGTAAGTGCAACAGCAAACTACTGTACTTATCATTTATCAACATCAATGGGAACGTAAGTGCAACAGCAGTCATGTGCGGAGAGAGATACACCAGATTACCATTTGGAATCCGACATGTGTCCGAGGTATTTCAGCAGATTTTCTGAGGACACGCCAAATACCACTTGAAATTGGTATCCGACATTGGTATGTATATAGGTAACTGAGTACCATAAAAAATAGCTCATATTACATAGACAACCAGGCCTAATTACTGCAGTGCTAATGAAAAAAATTTAAGATCAACTGACAATGTATGGTTAGCAAGACTGATAACTAGGTCATAACCAGAAGGTTTCGGTTGTTCAAATGCTTACAAAGGAAATGCTTCAACTACATCAATGGGATCTTTATAAAATAAATAAGTTTCTTGTTTCACTATATTCTTTTCCATCCCTCCTGTATTTTTGTCACGTCCATTACTCAATTTCTCAGATCGGATTCCTCGAAGCAGTGCTAAAAGCCTCATATGTTCTTGTTTCCCAAAGCCATAGCTAACACATTCCTGGAGGTACAGCGCACCTTCAGGTGGTAACAGATCAAACAGACCTCTAGTTGCAGACTTGCAGCCAAGAAATGCAGAGAGTTAAAATTAAGAGTGCAAGGTTTACATCGACGGGCCGCGGCTGCGGCTGCTGGCTTTTTCTACTCCTTGCTTCCTGCCGCTGGTTGCTTTACTGTTGCCTGTGCTGGTTGCAGCTGCAGCCAGCTTGCCAAACAGGCCCGGGTCACCACAAACAAGCATAGGTAGGCAACTCATAAAAAAAGGGCACGTGCATATCGTTAATCAATCTATCTGCAGGATAGTTCCAAACTAGACCTTTCTGAGACGAGACACAGCTGCAGGTATAGAATGAGTTACTTTTCAAAATAGACAAAGCCTTATTAAGTCATTCGTGTAAAGGGATAACAACCACCCCTCAAAGAAGTACCAGATAACATGAAAGTAGTCCTGAACTTGAACTGCACACTACATGAAAACGGGATGCCAGCTTGGCAACAACATTTCCTATATGCCCAAATTTAGCAGGTGTAACCACCTCCTTATTGATCCAATGTAAAATCAGTATGAATTGGTTCTTCACACACTCCTTTAGTTTGCACATTGCAATAGACTTTTAGATGACAGAGCACAGTTGTTGTTCGGTTGGTTTGGATTGAATTATATTAGTTTCTTATAAACATATACCAGATGTCCAAAGTGGTGGATAGCACCATCTATGTGTAAGTTACATGCCACTGTTAGCTAAGATATATGCATAAACTGAAGTCGAAGACATTGCAATGTAGGGTTCTAGCTATCTTACCAACAGTGTCAGATAATTTATCGTAGGCTCTGCAAATCCTGATATCATGCTCTATATCAAACGGGCAGAACAGTCAATAGTCTCAGAAAGATGTCCTTATCAGCTGTCTTTTCAAGAAAGAGCATTATTGTCTAACTATACAGTGGCATACTGAAAAGCCGCTGCTCAACAGAACCAGCAAGGGGTGTCAGGTGTGACACCACAGGTTCAGTCTAATTGTTAAAGCAAGATAATGAATTCCCCAAACAATTATTGTCATGGTGTCCTCATGTCAACCCCTTCTCCCCATTAACGATTTTTTTGAACATCTGACGAATATGAGATAAGGGCAATTGCAGGAAACTAGTCACATTCCATTGTCTTCTTCCAGCATCTTCAAGATCCAAAGATCTGTAAGCCAGAGCAGCAAGATACATTGCTGGATGCAATCTCCTGCAATTCCAGATTGAAGATCTGAGCTAACAAGTATTCTGGATCTTGTGCATATCAACCAAACAAGCCAATTTTAGTCAGTAAAACACTTGTGAAACTTACTTTTCAGAATGTTCATTGAAACCATCCCACTGTCTTTGAGATGGAATTGTCCTCCCTTTCTTGTCTCTCCCAAATGTTTCGATATACCATCCACCAGTATCATGCATGTAACAACGAGGCTCAAAAAGCCAATACCTGTGAAAGAGGAGTTATATAAGAGGACTGGTTGCTGTTGTCTTCAACAATGATATTTGGGCATGTATTTTGCCCTGAAATGAATTTGTATCAGATGCAATTTAGCATGCATTACTTGCTGGGTTACTTCAAGACTAGGGAAAACTAGAGGGGTTGTTTTTCATGGTTCGGAATACTACTTCTGATTGATCTATTACTCAATTATACATATTTTTTCAAATGACAAGGACATCCACTCTGGTCCTATAACAAGGAAGTCTCGGATCATAACTCATTTTGCTTTGACTTCATAAAATGGTAGATTTAGAAAGGACAAAGATTTACTTCCATGTCCTTACCAATCATATATGTAGCTGAACAAAACGGCATCTATATTTCTGTTGCACATAAAAGTAATGTCGGGCAGCATCAGATCTTCTAAATTGTTTAACCTAAAGGTTTCAAATTTAAGGCTTATACTCACACCATTGCCTCATCAGCATTTCAATCATGTTTGGAATGACTAATTTGCGTGCATGGGTGCTCAAGCAGCATAGTAAATTATGCATACCTGCTAGGTGGCAACCGAGCCCTACTACATCGACACTCACAGGGTGAAACTTTATCTCCAACCTGATACCAGTGCATGTGTTTAACCTGCGCAACATATGCATGCAGCAAAAATTCAATACTATAGAAGCCCAAAGATTACTGTTGCACCATCATGTGGTCATATAACAAAAGGCACCATTTATTTTGCACGAGTATTTGAATGATGTACGCAAATTTTGTAGAAAAAATAATGTGCATAGTATAGGAATGTTTTCATAGTTCATACCATCAATGTCCGGTGCTTCATTATGACATGTGTCTTTATGCCGTGACCATCATAGACACAGCAAGATCCTTCCTCACCAGTGGTGGCTAACCCAGTAATTGTGCCTAGGAGAAGATTCCCTTGTGTTAAATCAGATAGATCTGCGTTTGGAACAAGATACACATGAATGTGATCTTCCACATCCGATTTGTCAATGCAATCGCATTTGGGGCTCCTAGTCGCAGAGTAAACTAATTTCCCAAATATCCGCAACTCAATATCCTTGAAGGCATCTGATGAAGGAATATCATTTTCATGCCACATCTCTTGCTTGTTCATATCAACAGGATTCATAGATATTGAATCCTTATTCACATTTCTTGAAACATTTGGAGTAAATTCAGAAGATCTAAAACCAGAGGCGCTAGTTTTTCACGAGAAACGCCTGACAGCTCTTTGACACTATCAGCTACACTAACAATACCAAATAGATCACGACCTGATACAAGGTGTAATAGCTCAGAGGTTTCATAGACGGACCTCTCCTCAGCTTCAAAGCAATCAGGAAGGACATCCATGGAGTCGACATCAGGGCCATAGTATGCAGCATGGATTGCTGTGTACAGTTCGCTTTCGAGCCTATCAAAATAACCAGAGCCAGTGGCAACCCTCTTCTTGGTAACTATGTCATCAATGGTAAGCCTGTACCATTTCAGCCATTCAACGACATTGCTCTCTCGAGGTACCACAATGCCTGAGCCTGAACCACTTGGGTACACGAACTGAGATGGCCTGGGATGTTTCTGCACAATTCGCCTCTGCGATCGCAGGTAGCTATCATAATGAGCCCTTCTCTGTGAATCTGACAAAATCTGCAATACAAAAGCCTGCTAATTAGAGCTGGAGCAAATTTTGTTCACCCAGATTTGTGAACATAAAAAAATTCAATCGCATCCTCAATAATGAAAACTCAAAACAATTATTCATCGCTTCACTCATAATCACTAATCAGTTATCAGTGGGTTCATGGTAAAATAGAATGCCTATCATCGGAGAAAAAGCCTGTCAGCTTAGTTTAATTAGATACCTCGTAGGCGGCGAGGATCTGAAGGAACCGTCGGGAACCAGCAGCCGCGGCGACGTCTGGGTGCGTCTCTTTGGCTAGGCGATGGAAGGAGGCCTTGATCTCGGCGCTGGAACTGGTCTCCCCAACCCCGAGAACCTCGTAGGCGCTCTTCCCCGCGAGCTCGTCGTCCGCCGGGGCGGAGGTGCTCGCTGGCCGGCTGCGCCACGTGAGAGGAGGAAGAGCCGCCTCGCCGCCGCCGATAAGCGGGAGGAGGATTCGCCGGAGCTCCACGGCGCGAAGCGCCATTGAGTTTGCTGCCGACTGCCGCTGCTGCTTCCGTGGTTCTGTGGAGTGGGCCCGAGTGACGTAGGCACTGATGCAACGGCCTTCCAATGCGGTGGTGGATGGAAGGGAGCGTGCGCCTGCGCGAGGGACTGAGGGAGAGAGACGCCCTCAGAGGGCGATGACGTGGAGGCCTCAAAGAGATGCGCCTGGTTCCTTTACGCAGCTGTCTTCACGGACCGGCCCAACTTTATACTTGGGTCGCTAACGGGCCTAACGGTTGATGTGTTATCTCCAGTCGGGCCAGTTTTTTATATTTTTTAAAATGAGACGGAGCTATGTCATATATAGAGGCTAAGCACCACGACAGTAAAAGTCACAAAAAAGCACCACAACAGTAAAGATCTATCCACCTAGGAGTACAAGGCAAAACATACCCCGTTCAAATCTGTTTTAGCTCCACTCCTACCGCGTGCATGCTGCATGATCGAACATCATCATTTGTCCATTATGTACAACGACCATAAATTTCTTGTGTAAGCAATATCAATACGTATAGGAGACGTAATAGAATTATAGGAAAACAAATGCGCCAAGTCTATCAAACTAAAGCCCCCTTTGGCATGGCTCATTCAAAACGGCTTCACCAGTGAAGCCAAAGCCGGTGAAGCCAGAAAAACTGGCTTTTTTCGGCTTCTAGTTCATTTTAACCCCGGCTTACAAAACGGCTTCACGCTACCGTGCCTCAATTTGCGCAAAATAGATGAAGTCGAAGCTGGCATAAGCCGTGCCAAAGAGACCCTAAAATGAAGCCATCTTGCTGGCCACATGTCTGAGTCCGACACCTGAACCCTAGCAGAACACTAGGCTTGTGCGGGAACACACAGTTGTTTGTTGCGTCGCACGACATTACCCTTGCTCGATCGAAGTGTGATGTGTAACAGAACCGACCAATTTATAAGAGCACAAGTACGAAAGCAATCACCGGAGTGATCAAACCGTCATACTTGAACCCATATAAACCCGGTAGTCAACTGAAACCACGAAGGATTTCAAACCAACTTGCATACAACCAAGATCACAGTAATTCGACATAACAAGCCACATGTTACATCCATTTCACAAGTAGTTCGCAAGTACCTCATACATCAGAGTACACATAGTTATTACAAAACAAGTTCACAAATAGCGGAAGCAAAGTAGTTTGAGACCATCACACACACTTAGTTCACATACAAGCCAGCACCATAGTCATATCCAGCAAAAGCAGTAAGATAAGATAGCATAGATGATCATGCCCATGATCTAGTCTTCATCCCCCACAGGGTGGAGACAATACTTGCAGTAGCCGTTATAGAGCACGTCATCTGCAACAAGGGAGGATAAACCCTGAGTACGAGAAGGTACTCAGCTAGACTTACCCGTCGTAAACCAGAAATAAATGACACCAAGGAGTATGCAAGGCTTTATCGGTGGATCTTGTTTGACAACCAGTTTGCATAAAAGCTTTAGTGATAAGAGAGCATAATTTAATTTACGAGTAAGCGGCAAGTTAACAATATTAACCTATCAACTAGATTAGCACCTGTACTAGAGCAAGCAATTGATTAACTCCAATCATTAGTAACCATATCCGGTATAATGGTGTATCATCATCATCGATTTAACCATCAAGTTCCATTAAGTGCATCTACGTTGCCGCTGCTCAATCAAGTTCTCACTATCCGGGATAGATGGCGATTCGATTCCTATCCAGCTGGAGGGGTATTCCTAACACAAACCCAGGCATACCACGCGAAGGCAGCCTTAGGTCACCTTTGGTACAACTCAGGAATCGCGGTTCTGAGCAGCGCCGCACCCTCAGGGAGTCCACTCTGCCAGGTGGTCAATCTCACATCGAACTTACGCCAATAGCTCCCCGCACATCCTTACTACCGCTAGGGTGCGCACTTTCACTTCCCAGACTTCTGGCCTGAATTGAGCTACTCGGCTTCGCGGTCGGAATGAGTTATCTGGCCAACTAAGTGATAGACATGCGTTCAACATGACATGAGGACGTACAGCGAATCGGTCCTTAACCGACACAGGCAGGGATAGATCCACACCCAAGACCTCCTTGCCTTGTTGCTTCTCTATCGACATCCCGCCCGATCACAATTCATTATTAACACATGGTTATCTTCCACGATAGCAAATATAGCCAACCATAACCGGACACCATCCTAACTTGCAGGTGACAGGAAATCACCTGACTTTTACCGGTCTAAGCATGGCTAAGCTTTGATTCGCTCCTGGACCTAAGTAGGATTCAGGGTACGTATACTGGCCAAGGAGTAGATATATATGCAATAAGTATTTACATCCAATTCCTATCACTTAATGCATCAATAATTAAAGATACTTAAAGTAACCATTTTCAAAACATAGGAGACTTAGAATGCTCCGGGGCTTGCCTTTCAGAAAAGACGAAGGTTGGTGATCGGGACACTCAAGAACTTCTTCGCTGGCTCCTTCGGGTGTCTGCACCTCTGGCTCCTGAGCTTGCTGCTGCTCCTCTAGATGTACTGGCTCGAATTCCAGAAGTGTGACTCCCTCCGGAACACCTATTGCATACATATGCATAGTATAAGAATCATGCATGCACAAGAGATGGAAGATGATGATGAAATGTACAGCCATGTATGAATGGACGCATGAAAGACATAATGATACAAGATTAACATCGACTTTTACCGAGTAGATGCATATCTCTTTTAGAAAACAAGAACGACACACTCACCAAGTTCTAATAACCTAAGATAAAGTTGTTCATCTTCAGTAAGAGGTCTAGCACCTGCAACTAACAATTTATCTTAATTAGCCTAGCATCTAAATCATCACATCAACTCATATAAAGCAAACAAGTCATTCACTGCACTCAACAGTTTTCAGGCTGCAAATAGCATCTACAAGTTTGATCCATAACTGGAGTTCTACAGATCCAAATATCATGATTTAAGACTTTCTGAAAAGCTTATAAAATTATCTACGACTTTCATTTAAACACTAGAGTCTAATTCAAACTCAAACTAGGTCACCCAAACTGATCTTGTAAAACTGCCCATGGATTCCAGAGAGTAGGCAGTTGGGAGTGCTGTCTTCCAACTGAGATAATTCTCAAACTATTAGGCCAAATGTCTTGAAACTTTGACACAAGCTATACAAACAATTTTCCTACAACTTTGTTACTGACCAATTTCACAGCAAACCAATTTATCATGGTGAACTTTATAAAGTTCCCAGAATTGTCCAGAAAGACACAACGCAAGAAATAATTATTAACTTACGTTGTAAACATACAAACGGACAAGACCAACTTTACTAACTCATCATACATGTTGAAATAACACCAGAAAACATAGTGTCCATTCCTAAATAAATTATTTTCATGCCTTCAATAATTTATTTAGAGACTTAGGTTAAATAATAAACACATATCCAAAGTGCACATAAAATTCCACAAAAATTACAGTAGCTTATAAATATCTCCAATAGACTACTACATAAATTTCACATCATTTGAACAAGTATCACATCCTACACCAAAATGACAAGGCATAAAGGCTTAAAATGGCATAAATAGGAAACCCTAGTGAAAAGTGTCAAGCAACAGATTTTATATTTTTCTTAGGTTCATTATAATACCATAACACTGTACAAAAAGTTTCATGCTCACTGGATACATATTTTTATCATGAAAAATAGCACAAGAATCTCCTAATTATAAAAGAGAAATTAATAACTCAAAAACTATCCATGCAATGACTCTCAAATTTTTACCAAAGCTTATAATCATCAATAATAGTTTACCCACAAAATTTCATAATTTTTGGAGCACAGAAACTCAAGATATAATTTAAACAAGTTTGCCTGCATTTAAAAACACATTTCAAGTTCCTATTTTATTCATCCAAAATTTCCACATCATGTGCTCATGTCATATTTTTATTAAATACTAGACTTCACTTCGAGTCTAAAAATTTTGAATCACACCATTTGGATCTACCAAACTCTAGATATAGATTTTACAAATAGCATCAAATCTGCATTTAAATCAATAAAACATGAACAAGGTTGACTAACGCGCGGGACCCACGGGGTCAACGGCCCCATCGGTCAGAGACCGCAGAACAGGGGAGCGGCGGTTGACCCGTGCTTGCTCGTCGGCGGCGAGGACTCAGGCGAGGCCGAGGGCACCGACATGCTCGCCTCGACGGACCACACCTAACCATGCCCTTCCCGCAACCTCTACCGAACTCTAGCAAGGACGGCGGCGTGCATGGCGGACGACGGCGGGGTCCGATGATGCTCCGGCGAGGTTCGGCCCTGTAGGGCATGGCTAAGCTTGGTATGAGCTTTAGGGGGTCGCGAGGAAGCTAAGGGGAGGAAGAAAGGAACATGAGAAGGCTCCGGGGGTGGTCGGCCATGTATGGCTCCAACTCCGGCAAGACTCTGTCATGGCGGGCGGTGGTGGAAACGGTTGGAGGCCCTCACCTATGGTCGATTTGATGCTACAAGTTGGCTGAGATGATGGAGCTAAGCAAGGCAAAGCTTCCGGCTAGCTGGAGTGAGGTAGGACGCGACGGCGAGCGCGCACGAGCTCGGCGGAGCTGCTGCTGCGGTTGCTTCGGCGCTTCGGGCGAGCGGAGGAAGCGAAGGAGGAGGCAGAGCGCGTGCGGGCGAGCTGCGAGGCAGCAGGGCATCCTCCACTTCAAGCCGGCCAGCGCACGGCGCGGTCAGGGCAAGCCGGGCGCGTGGCGGCCACCTTCTGGTCTCGGTCGGCCATGACCGGCCTAAAATTTGCGTTTCAGGGTTCAAAGGTACCGACTGACAGGCGAACTTTTATGGTGATTAACTCCTAATACGTGATGACATAGCTCAAGGTATAATTGACAAAGTTGGAGATCTAAGTGAGGACTACAACTTTTCCAATTGGAGCTCGAGCTGGTTCGGCCTGGTTAGGGAGATACAAGGCTCCAAACATC